ATAGAAAGTGAAGTTGACAGTTCGCGTTGACATTTCTGGTAAACTTTTTCTTTAGGTTGCCAGCATGCGTTAGCGCTTCGATTCCGTCAGCAAGGATAAACGACAGGGTCGTATTTAGAAAAGTGATATACATTTCAGAATAAAAATTTATTTTCAATTTCTTTAAAGGAAGTTAGGTTATTAAAATCCAAAAATTCAAGAATTAGAGTCCAAAGTAAACACTTATAAAAAGAGTAAACACTTAAATCCAAACTAAAACCAGGTTTGAAACGCAACACCGAAACACAAAGGCGCAGAACACTACATAAAAAACCAAAAAACCGATTGTGAATATAACAAATCAAAATATAATGCAGCAAACGGCAAAATCTGAACGATTTTACCTCGGATTTTACACAAAAATTCGAAATTCAAAATTCAAAGACCCGAATCTGATATTTTTATATGTCAAATCAAAATGTCATGTATCATTATTTAATAATAATAATAATAATAATAAATGACTTTATTTGCACAAAATTTAGTACATAGGCGAAGTTTAGCCAAAGGCTACTCTACTTAACCTACAATTAATAAAGTAACAAAAAAAAAAAACTTAAGCATAGATGTCGCCAAAAAAAAAATGGCATGGCACGATAAACCAGTAATTAATAAATGTTCTATATTTTCCCCATAAATTACACCAATAACACATTAAGAAATCTAGGAGACTGTCGAACTCACTTGAACTTTCAAAAAATATTTCCCACTCTCTCTACGAAAAGCATTGAGTGAAAGACTTTTTATATTTGTTGGAATCTTATTATAAATATAGGCTGAATTATATGAAAAACTACGCTTATAATAAGTTAAGCGGTGGCGAGGAACATTCAGTCTATTCACAGATCTCACATTTACCTTATGCAACTGGTTTCTAGGAATTAACTTACTAAAAAGATAGGGAGGAGAAGATGTAAGAGTAATCTTATGAACAAAAACATCAAGGTTATAGGAAAATAAATTTTTAAGGCGAAGCCATCCAAGTTCATTTATCCTTGCAGACACTGTATCATACTTTCTTAAATTAAATATAAATCTGCAACAAGTATTTTGAATTTTTTGCAATCTATACGCAGTAAAATTATCAAGACAAGGAAAGTAGACAATGTTGCAGTAATTAAGAACTGGCAGGATCAAGGATTCGCAAAGTTTTTTCCTTAACTTGAAATTTATTATGTGTCTGTTAATGAAGAGCGGCCTCAAAGCGAAATAAGCTTTTTTAAGAATATTTGAAACGTGAAATTTGAATCTTAGGTCTTCTTCAAAATAGAGTCCAAGATTTTTTACTTTATCCACGCATTGAAGTTCGGTAGTTCCAATAAACAGTTTTAAATTTTGTTTAAAATAATTTAATTTATTTTTTTGACTAAAACACATTACAGAGCACTTAGAGGCATTAAGTTTCAAATTATTTTTCTGTGCATAATCATGTAGAGCTTTAAGGTCATTGTTTATAGCGTGCGAGGCCTCTTCCAACTGATTTAAGGGGAACGAGTGCCGCAATTGTGTGTCGTCTGCAAATCCCTGAATTTTGCAGGCTTTGACAACATCAAACATATCCGCAATATACAACAGAAATAGAATTGGTCCCAAAACCGAACCTTGGGGTACACCTGAGGTTATCTCACAAAAATCTGACGGATCCCTGCTTTCCAAAACAACCCTTTGCTTTCTTCCACCAAGATAAGACTGAAAAAAAGACAACGTAGTTTCATCGCATCCGAAATACTGAAGTTTGGCACACAAGACATCATGATCCAAGGTATCGAAGGCCTTCGAAAAGTCCAACAACACCAAAGATGTGACGTCACCCCTGTCCAGTGAGGATATAATTTCGTCAGTAATATTCGCCAAGACCGAAGTAGTGCTATGATCCTTACGAAACCCCGATTGCAAATGAGGGATTATTTCATTTTTTGTAAGATGCTCATAAATTTGTGGCTGCAAAAATTTTTCCAAGATTTTCGATAAAGCAGGGATGATTGAAATGGGCCTAAGATCGGAGTATTTTTCAGGTTTTACTACTTTGGGTAGAGGTTTTATTAAGGAACATTTCCAAATTTCTGGAAAGTAACCAATCTCTAAGCAACAGTTTAAGATGTGAGTTATATGATTTAAAATAAAATTTGCACAATAGTGGATCATTTGGGCAGAGATACCATCACAACCATAAGCGTTTGATTTGAGCTGACAAATTATTTTGAAAATTTCTCCCGTGGTTGCTAATCTAAAAGAAAAATTCAGGTTTTCTCGAAATTTTGTTCCTTTATAGAAACTTACAGTTTCCGGTTGGTTATGTAATGGGCTATACACTGATGAAAAATAGTCATTTATTGAATTTGGTTCTTCTAATTTTGGAGGAATAGTACAGTTAGTTTTATTTTTTAAATTTAAGTTATTTATGGCTTTCCAAAGTTGTTTATTATCCTTGCCACGTTGGTTAAATTCTAAATAAGCCTTTTTCTCTCTACGAATAGCATCCACCACGGTGTTACGCATTTGTTTGTAAAACGACCAATGACCAATGTCTTTAGTTTTCTTAAATTTGCTTAAGGCCTTATCCCGTTCATTCATTAGTAATTTAATATTAGGTGTAATCCAAGGTGCAAACTGTTTTGAAATTTTAGCATGCTTGAAAGGTGCATGCTTATCAAATAAATTCAAAATGTTTTGGTTTAAGAATTGCAGTTTTTGCTCTATATTATTTATGTAGTAAACACAATCCCAATTAATAGATCTTATGTCGAACTCAAGGTCCTCCATAATTAATTGCTTAAAGTTTCTATAAATAACTGTTCTTGGTAGAGGCTTGGAAATGCCAATATTTATTTCACAAAAAGTTGCTTTGTGGTCCGATATTAGGTCTGCATTTAGGACAGAGCAATTTGTAACAGTAGAAGGTTGATTAAAATAGATAACATCAATAATTTTCTCACTTGTACCAGAAATACGTGTTGACTCGGTCACCAACTGGGTAAAATCATAGCTGGTAAAACATTCAAGAAGCAAATTATTCTGTAAATGACATATGTTCACATCTCCTAAAATTAAAATTTTATCAAACCGAGGACAGAAATAAGAAAGCAAATCGTCAAAGTGTTTTATACAGCTTGCCAGGTTGGTTTTAGGTGGCTTATACACAACCCCCAAAAGAATACTCTCGTTCTTTATTTTTAAGTTAAGAAATAGGTGTTCAAGGCCGTCAATCGGTTCAAACTGTTCTGTAATGTAATCAAAAGAATTACGAATGAAAACACCGACACCACCCCCTCTACCTGTGCGATTTTTACATACAAAATTAAAATCAGGAATAAGAAACTGGTCAAAAGAAACATTTTCCGTTAACCAAGTTTCGGAAACACACATAACATCTACACTAGAACTATGCAGTAAATTCTGAAAATGGTCGAAACCAGTCGCAAGGGAACGAACGTTAAGATGGCCCAACTTCAGGTTTTTCATATTAGAATTTCACAATAAATTAGAAAAATATTCACAATACTTTTACTTTAATTCCCTTTAGATCCAACAAATATAATCATCCTCAATATTTCTCTCAAAACCGAAAAAATAATAATAATAATAATAATAAAATAAAAACAGCAAGATAATTAATTGTAGCTTTACACTATGAGAACAATCAAAAACCAGGCTATAATTATTTATACTTACAAAGAGAAACAATATAATAATTCTGACCGCAAAGGGATAAAAAATAAAAATAAAAAATAATCACTTAGGAAACAAGCCCCTGAATAGTTTTACGCAAAATAAACAATAATTCTGATTCGGAAACAACTTTCAGTGTTATTCAGGTAAAAAAAAAAAGTATAAATTTGTCCTAATAGAGGCACAAGATGCAAAATCTTTGAAATGATTTAAATGATTTATTGGTGCAAAAAAGTAAACAATAAGATTTTCAATTTTATGTTTTTGTTCCTTTTTCAATAGTAACAAAAAATAACTATAGAGATTAAGGCAATGATTTATTTAAAGAATATGTGAATTTGTTTTCGATTATAATAAAAGTAACCCACGGCCCACAATTTCCATATTTACCCAAAATTAACCCTTTTATAAGTTAGCACATACTTAAATTATTTGTTCAAGCAAAAATTGTAACAAAAAGGAAAGAAAAAAATAATAATAAATAAAAAGCAAACAAGAAGAAAAAAAAAAAACAAAAAAACGAAGTAGTAATTCCGAGAAAAGCATACAGTTTGAAACCCATTCTTATACTATATTATACTAACTTTGTTTAGTTTCCACTATTAACTTGATGAAGCTCATTCAAATGGTTAAGACTTTGAATTTTTGACACTTTACCATTTAATCTAACGTAAATGTTTCCATCACGACTCCACACATTTTTCCGCGAAAATTTTTCCGCGGCCCTCTTCATCAGTTTGGCCCGTAAGCCTGTTAAATCTTCCCTAATAACAATCTTTGAACCTTTTAACATTTTGCGACTTTTCAAAACTTTTGTTCTAATGTTAGAATCCGAAAATACTACCATCACCGGAACCGAATCGCTGGCAGACTGAGACGATTAACTAGCTGTATTTTTTTGTTTTATACGAAAACAACTGATAAGCTCGGACTCCTGAATATTTACCTGCAATTTATTTTTAAAAATATTCAGGACTGACTGTTTTATGTTTCTGTCCGGATTTTCGGCAGGGATGCCATATAACCTTATGTTGTTTTTGCGTGAAGTCTGCTCCTGCGCATCCACTATCCGTAGTAGATTTGTATTTTCCTGTTGAAGATCTTTTAACTCCAATTGCATGGATGACACATTTTCTTCCAAGATAGTTGTCAGAAAAAGGGACAGATCTGGGGATTTAATTTTTTTTCAACTGGTGAAAATAACGGTCAAAATTCAAACTCTATCGTGAATACGACTATACCACCTTTAATTTCTCTAAATGTTAGTATTTATTCATCATCCGTGTCGCTACCTTCCACTGCTGAATCATTCACAATGATTGGTTCATCACCTTCTTGTTCTTCCACCTCCTCATCCATGTCGCTGTCCTCAACTGCCGAATCAGTCACAGTTATTGGTTCATCGGCTTCTTGTTCTTCATTCTACCTCCTCATAACCTTGGTGTTGAAGAAACTTTTCGGCAACTCTAGGTAATGTAGGTTCAGTATACATAACAGGCCGCAATCCGGTCTCTTCTGCTTTCCACCCAAAGTTTGTGGGAGCTAAACGTTTCAACTGCCGTGCATGTTGATATTCATGAGCCTGCAAGTGACTCCTGACACAATGCTTTTTGAAGGAATCCATGTCTGGCGGCAACCGTGCGGTATCAAATTGTTGTAATTGCCGCCACTAACGTGCCCTAGCATGAGCCAACGTTTTGCTTACTGGATCGGTATATATAACCCTTATTGTCAGTAACTCGAGATCAAGAAGAAGCTGTTCTGAAAATTCCTCACTAGAACCTGTAGTAGTATTTGTTGTTGGTGTATTGTCTGATAATAACTGACAATATCTGACTGAAGGATACGTTTTTGCAGTGAGCTTTCCCAAACCAAACAACCCTTCTACAGAATCGCACCCAGTAAAAGTATAAACACCAACAGCAGCCTAAGATTTATCTGAATTTGAACACAGAGATCGACAATTAAAAAACTCGAAACCATTTGGTTTTTTCTTATGCATATACAGATTCTGTTCGGTTAAATGGCTTATGTATGAGGCAATAATCCATACATCTGTGTCCTCAAATAGAATGAAAATCGCTTAGGTAATTGTGCCGTTTGGAAAAATGCTTTAATATCCGCTTCAGATTGGGAGGATGCCTCAAATCGGGGATCGCATTCGCCAGTTGTAAGGTTATAGCAAAGGAGGCATCTTGTGCAATACCAATCAGCATTATGATCATATTTGATCCATTCTTTTATAGTAAATTCTTGCATCCTCCGTTTGTTTTCCGGCTTCGAGAGAAAAAAACGACATGATTTACCTGTAGGCATTTGCTGATCAGACACAGGATATACATTTGAAACAAAGGCGTACAATTGCATTCAACGTTTCTGCGCATGGTGCTTCACACTTTCCATAAAAACTCTCTTATCGTATATATCATTGATCAGATGGAGCGATTAAGTATATATTTATAAAGATTTACCGCGAACTGACTCCATGTCTTGCAAGCGGGTACCTTATTTCTTATTCCAAGCCATTCCAAGATCAACTATGACATGGTATTGTGCCGGTGGTAACACACGTTGAAGGTTTAAAGATATAAATCTGGATTTAACAGGCTTATGGAACATGCCATCAGCTGAAAATAATGGTAAACTGATCTCTGTTAGTCTGTGTTGCAATAAATCTTCGAGCGTCATTGTGGAATTTTGTCCAGTTTTCAACAGATCGACGACCTGTTTTGTTGCAGCATGATCAACTGATTTTCTTAGTTGTTGTTTTGGTTTATTAGGTACAGTTTTTGTGGCAAACATCTTACTCTTTCATTTAGATATGAGATCGAGCAGCGATGCATTTCCTGTAGATAGACGTTTCAAAACTGCTTTGGTCATTGAATTACCATCTTCATGGGCTGTGCGCTGGCTGACCAGTGCAAAGAGATCTAAGGATTGGTTTAGTAAGATCCCAAGGGTCTGCATACCATTCTTCAAGTGCAACTTTTACAGAACTAATAACCTCGACATCTTTTTTCAATCTCGATGGGCCTAACTCTGGGTGACGGTAAAGAGGTTTTTCCAAACATATTGTAACGTTTTCAATTTCTTGGCTAATAAGCTACCTTGTTTTGCCATACTGGATATGATTCCATATAGAGCTACAATAAAATAAATGAATAAACAACTATCTTTTTTGTGCCCAGATTTTGTTACCTTGAGTGCTGCCTTCTACTAGAAGTTTTTTTGGTTCAGGTTTGCAAGTTTGGTTAATTGATCTGGGAAGGTTTGATTCAGTACGGCAGGGCCCGCTGTTATTGATTAGAATCTTAGGAAAAGGAGTTAGTACCATCATCATATCTGTTTGCAAATCCAATCAATAATCTGAGGTTATGATAATAATTGTTGTTTACTCTTTGACTTTTCATTTCCATCATGTCATTGAACAGCTGTTTTGTCTAGGCGTTTTCTTTAGACCTGTTCTACGTTTTTGATATATGTTCTATAGGCACTTTTCAACATTCACCAGTCATTTTTTACACAACCGATTCTCAGTTCGTACTTTTGGGGTGAAACTGAACACGTCCTTTTCTATAATTTTCTTCAATGTCAAAATTAGAAGTTTGACAGATGAAAGTCTTCTTGCGAAATCTAAATTCTAAATGAAGAATCTCCCTTTTTGATCTGCGACCTCACGCTGAGTAGTCGTCCGGTCTCGGGCCTCGGCCCTAATTATTTTTGGGGCGAGACTTTTTGGAATCTTGTGCCAGGGAGCTCAAGTTTTAGACTAATTTCTTGCTCATAATTGTCTAGAGTCGTCCCTTGGTCATTTTTGGATTCTGTTTCGGTAAGTTTGAGATTTTCTTCAGGAAATATTAACCTACAACACGTGTTCCATTTTTTTAATAGGACTGTTCCGAGCAGCATTTGGAAGTTTAAGACTTCACCTTTGGTCTAGAGTATCCCTCAATTTGAGGTAAGATTATTTCTAATATTTGGGGCTCGATTTGTTTTTTTATACGAACATCGTTATAGGGTCCTAGTCTCAGGCTATAGTTGGACAATCCTAGTTCTAGGCTGTAGCTAGACAGTCTTAGGCTATAGTTGGACAGCTCCTAGAAAGAAATTCTAGACTAGATCTAGATTGCTCTTAGTTGGCTTTGGTAGCCTCCCTTCAGCAACCCTCTTGGTAGCACTCTGGTGGAACCACGTCGAGTTCTACGTTAAACAGATACAACGTGGATAGGACTCATGACTCTCTTACCATACCATAATCTATCTACAGTGAGACCAAACCTGTAGATAATCTCCCTTCAAAACTTCTGGAGTTACACATACATTTGAAGATAACTAACACTTGTATCCCATGTAAGTTACACCTTTTACTATTTAGGCAAATCCTATGTAAATCACTTGATAATAAATCAGGTTCGGTAAGTGCCCCTTAAATAAAATTCTAGAATTTTACCCTGAGGTTGCCCTAAATATAACTTTCACCTTTCTGTGTTTAATTTGCCTGATGGTAAAGTGTAACCCATACTGTATTTTTCTTATCACCCACAAGTGTAAATACCAAAAGGTTTGTAGTCATGTTTACTTAAAATTCATATTTATATGTATATGCATTATTTACATTCATTCTTTTGATAATCAAATATTTATAAATTCGTACAAGCCATAATGATGTCCTGGCTATCCCTATTCATTATTGTTATTATTTTTTAATAAAGAAGCCAGATACATTATTGCACCTAATTAGTTGTTTTATTGATAAGCTCTCCAATTGCACAGGTTTTGTTTAAACATCATTAGGTTATCTTCCTAGTTAAGTCACAATTAACTTGGTGGCGCCCGAAGGTAAGATGTATACAAGGAACCCATAGACCCATGGCCGCCGAACTGATGCTGACTAGCCGTATGCAGTATAATTAGGCAATTGCCAAAAAAAGTACGTTATAATATAGCTTCTTGTAGTTGTTGCCTAACCCCACTTCTCGGGCAGTGGTAATGCTGATTCTGAAATTTCCGCAAACAGGACAAGTGCAAAATTATTAAACGAATCTGACATAACGATTTCTTCTGCATGTTATTCTGTCGATGCCAATTCCGCCAGATTTAGACTACCAAGAATATCAGGGGGATTTTCTAAGCAGCATTGAATTAACATGCGTAATAAAGATTCTGATAATAATTTGTGTAGTCGCTAGTCGCATTGCCCTGTTTCCACTTAATTGTTGCCTACTTGCAGCAACAACACCTGACTCTACAGCTAATTCCTCGATGCCACAACCTTCTAACCGTTTTCCCACCGTGTCATTCAAATAAGACATTTCTACATGAAATCCTCCCAAGACGCCTTTAACAAGAGGCCATTTATCTGGATTTTGACATGGGCATTCTTCAATATATGTATTTATAAACTGCTTGGTCACCAACTAGTTGAGTAAGTGGCATTTGATTTTGTTCTGCAACACTTATCCACATTACTTTGTAGGCTGCAACGAAAACCGGTAAATGATGGTAAATTTTGGCTAATTGTAACATGGCGAATTAATGCATGGTAGATTCGGCTATAAGCGGTGGGCTGTACTTCACCACGTGTTTTATTGCTCAAATCTTTTGGAATTAATGGGCAGCATATATTTATTTTTCATTTCAGGCGTTGGTATAAATAAAACTAAATCAACTGCACCAGATTCACAGAAAAATTAACTTTGTTGTGCCATTATAACATTCGTATAATGATTTGTTTCGGAACCTGTAAGCCCGTCTTCTTGAAAGTCTTCATTATCCATGAAACGGTACCTGGCTGGAATGATGCTGATCTGTTGAGGACTCAGAAGATCTAGAGATCCTGTTTGAAAATTTTCTTGTCTTCTGCGTTCCTGAATCGCCGATGCTGCTAATTCATGAAGAACATCATCATACGAGATTCCAATTTTCAATTTCTTTAGGATATTAATAAGCTCCTTGCTACCAGTTAGGTTTCGCACAGACATGGACAGACTTACTTGCATTGGTTGACGTTTGCCAGTAATTAGGTGAGTTATAAGTTCCGATAGAAAACGTACAGCTGGTTGTAGCCGTTCCGGAACTAAAGCGCGACGTTCTTCGAGTTTAGCACTAGGGCTCGCAAGTGGTGCTATTAAATTATATATGTCATTAGAAGTACTGTCTACCTTTAGAACTTCAGGTTTGAAAGGCTAATCCAATGGGTCAATAATATACGGGGTGTTCCATTTAAAAAAGTTTAACTTTAATTTGCCACACTTTCGTGACACACCCTGTATACTTGTAACAAACTTCATTAAAAACTTTCTGATATTACCTACATTTTTCACATTTGACATTTCTTAGTATCTCTTCAAACAGGTGAG